CCTTGTAACATCCACTTCGGGATAAACAGTCTTCACCTTCTTTCTGCAGTCCGTGAAGGCAATGATGGCAGTTGGCAATCGGTAGAGGTTGACGATGTTGTCAAACGAGCTGGAGCTGATGAAGTTGCTGATGTGCTCCTTCATTCCATTGTGCACTAGGGTCTGCACATTCCCCTTCAGCTCCAAGAAAGCCTCCTTTGTCAGCTTTAACTCTTGCGCCAGAGCCTCACGCTCGTTTTCAGAGATCTTTCGCTTGGTCTCTTCAAAGCCGAGCTTGGTGCCCAGGGAAGCCCTCTCCTGTTCCAACTGCTTCACAGTTGGCACCACCTCGTCCAGCGCCTCTTGCAGCTCTTTATTCTTCTTTTCCAGCTCCTCCTTCTCCTTTTCCAGCTGGTCACACTGCCTTTGCAAGAGTGCGCGCTCCTTTGTACTCTCCCTGAACTCCTGGGCTAGACCATTCACCCAGCTCGCGTTCTGCAAATCAAAGCAGAAGTTCAAAGAGCAAGAAGAGAAAAAGAAACAGCATAAATAAACAACATTACTAATTTAACATACCTCTAGAGCGTGCCTCACCACGGATGCTCCACCATACCTCAGAGCCTCCTCCCGCGCGAAGCGCTGGTCCACTTCGGGGAAGGTGTTGTGGATGAACCACCTAGCCCCCATCATGTTATTCGCCTCGAACAGGCTGCTCTGAGGCCCCATTGGGGGAATAGGGCCCTTTCCCTTGCTAGGAGCTCGTACCTCAGCCCCCTCCTCCAACCGTCTGAGCTCAGGGTTCAGCTCCACAGGAGGAGGCTGAGGTACGAACTCAGGCACCTCATTCCCCCTCTCCTCCTCTACCACCTTCTTCTTCTTCTCCAGCGCCCTCCTCTCCTCCCAACCCTTTCTCTTCAGCGGTGGCACCTCCTCCCCTGTCTCAGCTGAAGCAGTGGGCACTACCTCCTTCCCAGTTCTCCCCTCATCCACTTGTTTAGTTGAAGTCCTTGACTTCTTCCTTGGCTTCTTTGGGATAGCCTTTCCTCCAGCAGTATTCAAAAATTGATTCATGTCAGCTGCAAAGCAAAAAACACAATATTAGTCACAATTCTATGTTCTACATTTAACACTATAGTCTATGTTAAACAAACCTTCACTCAGAGCGCTTGGCCCATAGAGCTCAGCAGCCTCTATGCATGCTGCGCTGGTGAGGTCCATGATGTTCAACACATCCCCCCTCTTCCTCACCAACCTCCCCACTTCCTCCTCCTCATCCTCAGTTAAGCTAAACCTATTCTGGTTGGCCCTTTTGGCCTTCCAGGAAGCTAATGCCCTCACCTCGGCATCTCCCTTCCCCCACTCCGTATCATCCACAAAAAATAATTTTTCCTTCCATCCCTTAATGGATGAAGGACCCGCTGTGAATAAAATCCTACTCTCTTTATTAGCTACCCTCGGGGTGAAATAATACCACCCCTTATCTCTCCTGCTACTCCCCTTTAAAACAAAAAAATATTTAAACATATTTACAGTTGGCACTCTAATTCCCTGAGCTCGGCAATAAACTAAAAACCCTATTATTACCCTCATTGTGTTGGGAACCAACTGTGTCAACCCTATGTTGTAATCTAACAGTAAAGCTATTAGCAACTCAGGAAGTGGAAACCTGAGTCCCGCTATCAAATAGTGGGAATACACAGGCATCCAGTGATCCCGAGGAGCAGAGCACGCCCTTTCCTCTACCCCAGCTGGTCTAACTAGCACCCGAGAAGAGATCTCGTACGTTTCTACCAAGTGACACAGGTCATCCCTGGTCCTTAGTTCAGATCGATACTGCTTCACTTCCTCCACTATCTCTGCATTTCTATCGTAACCTCTCTCCCCATTACTCTCTACTTCTACTACGGTGATGGGTATGTTATCTACCCCAACCCCCATCACCTCATTCCTCCCAACCTCTGCCACCTCATCCCCCCCAACCTCCACCACTTCATCCCCCCTCACCCCCTCCACTGTTTCCTCTGAACTAGTTGGAGATGGACTACTCTCTGTGTCCATCCCCCCGTAGTCCAAGGGTTCCACCTCACTCCCTACTATACTTTGTGTTCTTTCTGACGACATTTTCTCAAACTCTGCACAAAGTAAGGGGGAGGAATAAGTCAGGATTTAAAAAAATATATATATATATCAAAAAACCCCGTTGTTGCACATTCAAGATCCTTCTCGCCTCTAACCCTAACTTCCTTCAAAGGACTCTAAATCAATCACAGAAAGGTAGAAAAGAGAGAAACACTTTGATTAACTCAAAAATCAGAAGTTCAGGTACAGTACCTGATTTCGGTTTTGAAAGATTTGATGTAGAGATCCCCAGTTGTTACCGCAGTTCACGAACAGAAGATGAATGATGAAGCTTCTCGCAAAAGTTTTGCAGGAAAAGAAATGCAAGTAAACTTTTTTCTGCAGAAAAAATGCCTATTTATACCTCTGGGCAAAATTAGATCTCAATGGCTGAGATTCATTTAATCTAACGGTTCCTATTTGCACCGTTTAGAATTCAACGGACAACCTTAAACGGTACCGTTTTGAATTAGACGGTTCGTTTTTTAATTTTTTGCCCGTTTAACTGTTGCAGTTATCTTTTTACGACCGCATTTATTGCGCATGTCATTCCAAGGACAACTGTCACACCAATGTCAGTACTTATACACGGGCCCACCTACAACCATTTTAACACCTCTGTTCAACTTTTACATATTCTCAAATATACAAAGTGTTTCACCTCGGCTTCAACTACAATAATGCTGCATTACTTTTCACCTCGGCTTCGGCCACAGCAACCCAATCTCACACATTTTACTTCGGATACGGGCATTATGACCTCAGT